CGCTGAAAAATACTCCAGCGCCCTTCTAACCCCTAATTTTAAGTGCCGGGAAGCTTCAACAACGTACCGGGATCGATCGGACTGCCCCAAAAGCAATTCATCACCACTCCTTAGGTCCCCTTTCACCTTTCTTTGTCAACGGATCGTCGACTTTCAAGGTAAACGCGAGTTCACCAAGGAAAAATCTGTTTTTATTTATTTATTGTGTGAAAATCATCGCGCACATCAATCAAGAAAGGCATCGACTCCAGCCATAATTTTTTTTATCAAGCAGTTCATCAACTCGCCAATATCAAACGACCCGTACAAGATGATGATCTAATTCTCTACATTGTTGGAGGATTACCATCTAAATACGACCCTTTTGCATAAATATTTCCACTCTACCAGATTCTCTCTCTTTCTCTATCTCTCTCTCTCTCTCTCTATGTGTGACTTACTTGGTCATCTCCTATCTGAGGAATTTCGCATCTCTAAAGATGATATCCTTTCAGACATTACTCCCACGACATAGTTGGCTCGTCACAACAACCACTCCATACCCAATCACCACCATCACTCTTCTTCAAGCCAACAAGACCTCGTTCACCACAGTAACCTCGTAGACACAGTGCCTGTAATTGAGGAGGCCGTGGTCATGGTCGTGGTCGTTCCTTCAATAGTGGCCAATTTTTTGGTTCCACCATCAATCACTCCACCTCTTATTCTCGGCCAATCTGTCAGGTTTGCAATCACATTGGACACACAGCTCTCCAATGCCACAACCGCTACAATGAAGCCTTCCAATAAACTGCTCCTTTAGCCTCTACTCAAGCCTACAATGCTTCCTTACATCTTACTCCCTCTGACACATAGCACCCCCAACTTCGGTGCAACTCATTATCTCACCGCCGATTTTCAAATTTGAACATCTCCTTTGACTACAATGGTTCTACCATAGTAAAAATTGGTAATGGCGAAGGTTTGGGAATCCATCATATTGGCTCCTCCTTTTTTCAAAAACATGATTCTTCCTTTGTATTACATGATATTCTACATGTTACTACTATACAAACCAATCTTCTTTCTGTTTACAAATTTGCCACTGATAATAACAGTTGGTTTGAATTTCACCCATCTCATTTCTATGTTAAGGACATGAAAACAAGGTAGGTCCTACCTCGCTGACCAAGCACTAATGGCCTTTATCAACTCAAGTTTTTTGAAGCTACAAGCCCTCTTTCATGATTACTCAATGGCATCAAAGACTTGGTCATCTGATGTTCCGTACAGTTCACACCATTTTGAATAAGCTTGGCAAACCTCTTCACTCCAATAACAACACCACAATTAAGCCTGTCAAAAAGGAAAGAATCATAATCTTCCTTTTCCAACTCCCTCCACACCAATGATGGTTCCTCTAGATATTGTTTATTCTGATGTTTGGGGTTCGGCCCCTATACCTTCTTTTAATGGACATCAATACTATGTTCATTTTATGGATGCATTGAGCAAATTTATGTGGTTATTTCCCATTTCCAATAAAAATGATGTGTTGCCTTGTTTTATTCAATTTCGTATACTGGTTGAAAATTTGTTTTCTCGACAAATCAAATATTTGCAGTGACTTCATACATCAAACAGTGTGGAATTGGACATTGGATCTCTTGCCCCCACACCCACCCACAAAATGATGATACAGAATGCAAGCATCGTCACATTATTGAAGTTGGGTTTGCTCTATTGGCTCATGTCTCCCTCCTGTTTACATCTTGGGACTTTGCTTTCCAAATGGCTTCTTATTTAATTAATCGCTTACCTTTCAAGGTCATCATCAATGACACTCACTACACAAGCTATTCCATAAGTCGTCAGATTATAATTTTCTCAAAGTATTTGGATGTGCATTTTATCTTTTTCTCCAACCGTATCGTCATCATAAATTCGAGTTGCGTTCAACCCATTGTGTGTTTATTGGCTATAGCACTCAAAATCTTGGCTATTACTGTTTTGATCTGATTCATCGCAAATTATATACATCGCGTAATGTCATTTTTGATGAGGTTCTTTCCCTTTGTCACTCCACAGTCACAGGTACTTGCATCGCCCACACCATCGGCCATTAATTTACCGCCTCCACCACCTCTACGTCCTATTGAGCCATTTTCTCCACCAACGTTGCCATCCCCAATTCAAACCCAAGCTACCCAACAATCTTCTTGTGGATGTCTTGTATTCTAGTCCTAGTAGGAAATTGATTTGAATTTTGTTCTCTTTAGGAATTTAGAAAGGTAGATATCTTAGAATTCCACTTCAAGTAAAAAGCCAATTAGAAAACCCTTTTGTATTAAAAGACAAGGTATATTGGGTCTATAAATATAGTAAAGACCACTCAGTTTCTCTAAGGTCTTTTTTGCCCCAAATTTTGGGAAATTTTAGCCCCCAATTTTGAACATCCATGTTTGATTTTATTCTCTGCATTAGAGAATTTTGTGTAATCTCCCTTTATTGATAGTTAAACTTTGTTGTTGTGCTTCACCCATGGACGTAGGCTTGTTTATTGAGTCGAACCACATAAATATGTGTGTTCTATTTTTTCTATTTTGTTGTTATTATTTGCATGTGGCTTAGTTCATAACAAGCTGATATCAAAGCTACGATTTTAGGATGGCTACAACAAAATTTGAAGTATAAAAATTATGTGATCAAAATAATTTCAGTCTACGGCAAATCCAAATATGTGACGTTGCAATGACAAATCGTGTGACAAAAGTTCTTTATGAGATACTATGATCAAACTGAGAAGATTCAATAGATTTGTTATTCTAGAGAAAGCAGCAACAAAATTCACTTTTGATTTGGTGACTTGGTGTATACACAAGTAAAAGTGGATATTTGTTATGGATGCTTATGATACTTGTAATCCCTCACGGGATTTGTGAAGAAGGCAGCTAGTTTGTTCACTTTCATTTTGATGGCTTGATGGAATACAAACCAAGGTGGAGATTTGTTATGGGTGTCTTATATTCCAGTCCTAGTAGAAAACTGATTTGAACTTTATTTTCTTTAGCAATTTAGAAAGGTAAAATGTCTTAAAATTTTATTTCAAGTAAAAGACCAATTAGAAACCCTATTGTATTAGGAAACAAAGTGTTTTGGGTCAATAAATAAATTATAGACCACTCATTTTCTCTAAGGCCTTTTTGGCCCCAAATTTTGGGAGATTTTAGCTCCCAATTTTGAACATCCATGTTTGGTTCTATTCTATAGATTATAGAATTTTGTGTAATCTTCCTTTGTTGATAGTAAAATTTTGTTGTTGTACTTCGCCCGTGGACGTAAGATTGTTTGTTGAGCCGAACTACGTAAATCTTTGTATTCTATTTTTTCTATTTCGTTGCGTTGTTATTTTGTTTGTGGCTTTGGTTCATAACACTTCTTCAAATCCAACTACTACTCTAGTTCCTTCAACACCAACGATGTCATCCCCACTTCAAACCTAGGCTGCCCAGCAACTTTCTTCAATTTCAGTCCCTGCTCTAGTGTAATCCTTTTCTCCACCTACTGGACATTCACATCCTATGGTCACAAGGTCTCAAGGTCACAAGATGGCACCCGACATCCAAAGGAACTCAATCTGGCCACCAAACACCTATTGCCCTAGTGTTATTCCACCACTTTGTCCAGCGAAATTGTTCCAACATATGCCACAGTTGCGTCTCATAACCCACATTGGCGGGCTGCTATGGCTTCCGAAAGCAATGCCTTAATTCAAAATGGCACATGGACTCTTCAACCACCACCCCCCAACACGAACATAATTGGCTACAAGTGGAAATTTCGTATCAAATGAATGGTGTATAGCACACTTGAAAGGTATAAAGCTCACCTTGTCGCAAAGGGCTTCAGTCAGCAAGAAGGACTTGACTACACCGACATGTTTAGCCCATTCATTAAACTAGTAACCATCCGCACAATCTTGAGCTTAGCAACCAGTTCGTAGATTCCCTAGGTATTCAATTCAATCCTTTGCCCTCACGCTGACATCAGCAATGCATTTCTTCATGACCATCTTGATGAAAAGGTACACATGAAGTAACCTCCCAGCTTTGTCGACTCTCGATTTCCTACTCGTGTGGCATTTATGGAAGTACCTTTTATGGACTCAAACAAGCGCCCCATGCTTGGTTTGCACGCTTAAGTTCCTTTGTCCTCAGTCAAGGATTTGCGGCATCCAAAACAGATCCTTCACGGTTTATTCACACAACCCATGAGTCTCATCTCTATATCCTAGTTTATGTTGATGATCTCATTGATATAGGCAGTTCCATGAAGTTAGTTTCCTCTATTTTCCATCGACTTGGCTGCGAATTTGCAATCAAGGATCTGGATCGCCTTAATTTCTTTCTCGGCATCGAAGTCCTCCACACTCCTAGTGGTTTACTACTCAACCAACGCCAATACATTCTGGGCATCTTAAAGAGGACTGCTATGGATGGTGCCAAACCCGTCTCCAATCCATTTTCTCTAAACAACAAACTTCGACAAGGTATCGGTGAAATGCCACTTTGCATCGAAGTGTTGTTGGTTCTCTCCAATATGCAACTATCACCCGACTTGACCTAACTTATTCGGTGAATAAAGTTTGTCAATACATGCAGCAGCCCACATTACAGCATTGGACTGTTGTCAAACAAATACTTCACTATCTCAAGGCCACCCTCGACTTGTGCCTTCCTATCACTCGGCATCCCTTATCTACTATTTCTACCTTCTCCGACGCTGATTAGGTCAGGTCAATGTTACCTGGATCGTGGGTCACTTTGGTACATACTGCGGGTGCGGGTACATGGTACAACACATTCTTAGGTACACGGTACGATGATAGTATGTTTAGTTAGTACGATATTTTGGGTCGCAATTCATTTTGAAACTCTTATGTAGATCAATTTCACTACCATGCAACATTATATATTACAAAACATTCATAAACACTAAGTTATTTATCATTTATTTTATAATAATACTTGATTTTCTATTATCAAAAATGATATATAATTATAAATATATATACATGTAGTCAATTAATATATATTTTATATTTATGCTACATGTTCTGAAGCAAACTGAGTTGGGTTAGTATTTCAATTTAAGGTCGTTCGTTTTGGTGATCCAGATCACGAACCCATCTCGTTTGGAATTGATGTACCCAGATCGTAGGTCGTTAAGAGTTTTGTGGTAACCATGGGCTAGGTGCCTCGATGATAGAAAATCCACCGGTGGATATGCCATTTTTGTTGGCCCTAATCTCGTCTCATAGTCTTCTCGCAAGTAAAAAATTGTTGGTCGGTCAAACACTTAGGCAGAATATCGTGCTCTAACAGATGCTACGCCGAGATTCTTTGGTTGCAATCTCTCCTTCGGGAACTTCATATTTCACAGACACAACAACCCATTCTATGGTGTGATAATATCGGTGCCACATTTCTAACGACAAACCAATTTTTTACAATCGCATGAAACACACTGAGATTGCCTTCCATTTCGCCTGTGGTAATGTGGCAAAACGGAATCTTCAAGTCAACTATCTGACCACCAAAGATCAGCTTGCTAATATCCTAACGAAGCCGCTTTTCATACCATACTTTCAACTTCTTCGTGACAAGCTCAATCTTCTCCATGGCACAATTCGCTTACAGGGACATGTTAGAGATAAAGATTAGCTAACAACTAATCTTACCATCTTTTCTCTTTTTGAATTCAACTTGTATTGCAGATCTAGCTCATCCCTGCACTTATCGTTTCTTATCTTTTGTATCAAATTCAAATCATTCATTGGTCCACATAAGACCAACAATTGTGACACATGTTCATTGTGAAAAATATATATAAAGTAGAGTTTCTCATATAAACTAACAATTTTATACTACTTGGCCTTGATACATAAATATTTTTCCTAAAAAAAATATAACAACCATTAGCACTGGAGGCAATATGAAATCAAAAACCATAATTGAGAGGTCTATGATAAATTCAGTAGTTCAAGAGAAACAGAGAAATCGATGTCATAGTTGAGGATATCAAAATACATTTAATAATATGACCCATTGCAATATTAAATGAATTTTACTATCACTCCATCGGTCAAAATACATTACGTCCCCAAATTATGTCTCAATAGCATTGATTTTTATATTTTAAATAACAATTTATTATTTTTATTATTTTTTTATGTAATTTAAAATTAAAATGAACATAAAAAAATAAGAAAAAAGTGAGGGAGAGAAATAGGTGTGGATTAATGAGATAATTTGACAATGAGAAATGTGTTGAGTTGTCAAACATTGAGAGTCGTGTATAGAATATGACGCTTTTGAGAAGAAAAATAAATTTGAATGAATTATGTACCACTAAATCAAAGTAGATTAAAATTGAATCAATCTTAACTATTGTTGTACTTTTATAAATTTAAAATTCAATTTTTTAATTGTAATATTAGATAACCAATCATTACCCAAGACTAAAGGCACTCTTAAGACAAAAAAATCGCCAAGCAAAATAGGACATCCAAGAATGTCTTAAATAAAAGAAGTCCAAGGGTTGAAATGAAGAAGAATCATATCATATTAACACAATCCAAAAATCCCCATGAACTTAAACTAACACTATTACAAAATTTTCATGGCATACATTTCTTCATGGTTGCTCTTCTCTGTACCAACTGAGTGTTTATTTTTTCAACCTCTGGTTAAATCTAATGAATAGGCTATTTAATTTTAATAAGGAATATTATTAAGAACACACAATTATATCACTGAATCCAATCAAATAAATAAATAAATATATATATATATACACAGAGAGAGCGAGAGAGAGAGAGAGAGAGTTAAACATGTATAAGAGTTTAGTGTATGAGATAAAGAAAGAGAGAAGTATATGAGAGATGAAAGTCTTAAGCGTTGTAAAAATAATTAAAGTTCAATTAAGATCTTTCGATCAATAATTCTCAAACAAGCTGAGCTGCAAAAAAAAACTCAAGACAAATAAGATTAACTCCCTTATATTACATAGATTTTTTGTCATACTTCAATCCAATTTTTTTTTTTTTTTGGGAAGAGGAAGGGAGAAAGGGTACTTGAACTCTTGACTTCAAAAAAATAAAACTTTTACAAGATAAAGAGTACTATTGGACCAAAGGCCCATTGATTATTTCGATCCATAAGTAGGCTGAATTAAGCTTATGCGGCCTGCAAAAATATATTTTCTAAATAATCTTATATCCTTTGTTGCGAAGTTCCCCGTCATTCTCATCATAATTTTTCTAGCATTATGAGCACTATTTTTGGCTATTAACAGAACATTAAATAGGAGACAAAATACAAGCACAAATGAATGCATATGATTTACATCTCTCTTCTGACCAATATAACAAGCAAAGGACCGAGATAGCTTGTAAGACCTATATTAAAATTAAAGAAAGATAATATTATATCAATGATTATCCTAAGGTAAATAAAATGATGGTAAAAAATTAAAATTATTATTACAAAATTAGTTATAAAATTTGAATTTCAAATGAATTGACTTTTAGGATAAAATTGAGTTTTAGAGATTTTTGAGCTTGAGATGGGTTACTTAGTGATTTTATAAATATTTTTAAGTCAAAAAAAAAAATTCCATTCAATCCAGAAGGTTGAAAAACATTAGAAGAGATTATATAAGTTGTATTAAAAGTTGAAAAATATTCTAAAGTTAATACTTATTTTGGAAAAGATTTGGATAAGAAGAAATTTGACATAATCTTAGTATTTTGGCTATAACTTTTTACCCTAATCCCGAATTGACCTGAAATTTTTATATTAAAAACTAAACTTCAATAGCTATAAAAATATATTTCACAAAAATTTCATTAATCGACTTTAACTAAGTCAAAAGTGAGCTAGAAGTCAGGTGCAGACTACTACCCACGCCAAAACGATAATTCTCTATTGTTTTAGCCAATGAATATCATAGGGCTGCAATTTAAAGTGTCCTTACCTATCTTTTCAACCCTAAGAGCCCTAGGAAAGTTTGAGGAGAAAAAAGGGGCTAAATTTTGAAGGATTAATACGTAGTAATCTCAACAAAATACATTAGCATCAAGATCTCAAGAATCAAAGTAGTGGTTCTTTCTCATATTCATTCATTGATGATTAGGGTTATACAAATGTTTGATTATGAACGATTTTATTTATTTAATGATACTTTAATATGCTCTCATGGCTAGATATTGTATAAATAGTTAATGCATTCAAAGGTGGATTTTTGGGACGTTACATAACTTGTCAGTTGTCACCAGTGAAGAATTTTTACCTTAACCTGCTAGTGCATTTAACATTTAACATATAACCATAAATCGGATATGGTATTATTTGAGACCTTTTCTAACATTTTCACTTTCAGCACTGAAAAGATGGCATCATAGCGGCATTGTGACAGGGACCAGAGTTTTAATTTTGTGAAGAGAGCTAAGATGTTCACACAATGAAAAAATGAGCACGGACACCTTAAAAGAGAATGCACTCGCTAACATGCAGAGGAAGCATCCATGAGAAAATTCAGTGCTTCCATCCCTTTGAGTGGCCCTCCTCCATATATGGCTCAACAAATCCTATGAACTGCAGCAATAATGAATCAAAATGAGAAACTGGAAGGCATGGACAGAACACTAAGCTGCATTTGTCCCAACGACAATCGATCTGGGCACAGAGATTTACCCTAGAGAGAGAGAGAAGCATTACATAAATTAGCCATCTGTTTAATTTTTACCGTTTCTTTGTACCACACGACATTTTCCATTACTGACTTAACCCTTTGTCATCCATTGGACCACTTAAACTCAAATTGGAAACATTAGGCTATCAAATTGACAAAATTGGTAGTTGAGGGACTAAATGATATTTCATACATACTTCATGGCCAAAAGTGTATTTAATCTCTAATCTATTCATATACCTTAGTTCCATCTACAGACCACCGTGCACCATAATCATCAGCAACCCTAATCTCAAAGACAAGCCCATGAGGTGGAACAATATGCATATTCAGCCAGCAACAATGAACTAGTAAATGACGAATGATATCCACTGCAAGCCTATTTTTATTGGAATCTGGAGAGGGAAAAATTGATAAATTTAGATCATCATAAGTATGAAGAGTCCAAATAAGACAGAAGTTGTGATCTTTTCTTTAGCATGCAATAATGTCAATAACCTACCAGGCTACTACTGATGTGTGCAGCCTATAAAAGATTTGATCCAGCAGATGCAATCTAAATGACTGACACATTTATATAATCAATAATTAACCTAATTGAGGATTAACTAGATGAACCGGTGCATGAAGCTACCATTACTACAGGTTCTTCGGAGGATCAGAATTAACAGCTTCACCCCCACATGTGGAAAAGTTGTTGACTCAAACCCTTAATGGCCCGGTCAATGTTTGTGCACCAACCAATGATCAAAGTTTGATTTCAGTACATAGATTTGATCAGCTCAGAAACGGAATAGAAACAAAAAATAGTAAAAGTTTCTTTCCAAAAAATAGGTCGCAATATAATGAAACATCTCAAAACATTCGGAAACACATCGAAATGCGTCAAAACATTGAAATTTCGATATTAAATTACTAATTCATTTTGGTTTCCAAGGAAATGAAAACGTTTCATTCGTTTCGGTGCAAAAGAAACGAAATGGTGACCCTTGGCACCAATATCCTGATGTTACCGGTTAAGATCTCCTTAAACCTTTCATTCCCCCCAAAATAACATCAGTGTCACCATTTAACACAGTGAAAATTCTTGCCGATGTATTCTGTTCCACAAAAGTCAAATAAAAAAAATAAGAATTGACTAAATAGTGCTTTGTTTTTTTCTCCACTTTCCCAATTGTTTTGTTTGACCATTTTGCTGCAGAACTATGGTTTGGAGACACAAGAAAATAAGAAAAATAGAAGCTTATGATAGTTGTCCTGTGAAGTCTAAGCCTCTACCGTTGAGGCACAAGAGTGTCCAGGCACAAAATTTTAGCTTGCGAAGCAAGTGAATTAAGACTTGTGCTAGGCATACTGTGTACGCCTGTAGAATATTAATACCAGAAGTTATTCCACAAGAAAATGTCAAAGCCGTAATCAATTATCCCTGAATAGACAAAATTATGGTCTTATGGGCATATAAAGAATGCATAGTAAGGTAGTGATATTTACATGCAACTGAAATTAGTATTTATAGTGAAGATCTGTGTTCACAAGGAAATAAGGAACTCACCACTTCCACAAAAGGTACCCCAATATTTATTGCTGCTCCTATTGACATGCTTAGCCAAGGCCCTGGCTCCATCAGTCAATATAGAACCTTTAACCTCAAGGCAAGAAAGAGTGAGTACATAATCAATGAAAAATTAAGCCTCCCGTAAACTGATGTACAAAGAAACAACAATGAACTTGTTTCTAGATCATTCTGACAACGTAATACATAAATTCAACTCACAGAAACAGAAATTTCAAAAGAAATTCCCAACATTTGTTTAAAAAGAGAACAATTCATAAGCAATATGAAAACCATTATGTTTTTATAGGTCCCATTACAAGGTTGGGACCAATGTGATGCTACTGAACAATCTCTATCCTTGCCTTGCAAAGGACATACAAGAAATCAAGCTTCAATTTCTTGCATCCTAAGACCCATCAAGTGGAACCAAATACTCCTGTTAAGCACAGTAGCCATATAGATGGAGCTTCCAAAAAAAATTCTAGTTTTTTTCAGTTGCTGTTTCATTCTTTTTCCCTCAACACTTCCGGAAAAAGAATTGACAAGATTGAATATTCCAAAATTCCAATTGAAGTAGTCAAAGATGCAAGAAAAGCAGAGATTATTGACCATAGAGCAAAAGGACAACAAAATAATCATCAAATGTGATTATCATACTTTGGGATTATGCAGCAACACAAATGATGAGAGTAGAGTTGATCTTGGCGGGGGAAGTACCTCTGAAAATGTTCCCACAGTCTGCACAAAACCTAGAAGCCTCTGAACACCCCCATAACTCAATCCCTGAATAGAATGTGAACAAAAGTTATTAGTAATAAACCATTGTAAGCATTCCAATAATAGAAGGCTGCTTCAACACTGTTTATCTGTTAGTGGCATGAAGACAAAACTATGCCGCTACACATTAGGGAGATAAGTGGAACACATTTAGCAAGGCTATGTGAGCGGGCGGGAAGTCAATTTTTTTCTTTTTCGATGTGTGTGTTGTATATATTTATTTTTATTTTTTTTTTTTTTGGGGGGGGAGGGAATAGATACTTCGGAGAACTACTTTACTTCCCAAGATAAGATGCAGACTATTCATTTTTACATACAAGACCTATTTAAAAATAATATGAGTGTACATATATTAACTTTGAATGAGGTAATAAAAAACATATGACAGCTGGCGATTTAGAAGAGAATATGGTTCTTCATAGAGCACAATAGAGGAATAAGATTCTTGTAGCCAACTTCAAATTGTTGGGCTAAGTTTTATCGAGTCGAGTTAAGTATCCATGTACTTATAAGAGATGAATGAAGAATGATAACTAAATTTAACAAGGCTTACAACATTACACGTGCTTCATCATGTAATTCATTGATGAATAGTTAGCATGGCGCTATGATATATTTCAATTATCACATTCTGAATATATATATTGCCCAAAGAAGTTCTACACATAAGCATAGCTTCCATTCACATAAATTAGCATAATTCTCCAATTGTAACGGTTTTCTCCATGTACTTTTGTATAGTGCTCTCTTTGTTGTTGTTGCCTTCTTTTCCCGGAAATAAAAGGCTCGTGACTTGAAATTAAATTTGCTTGACATTTCCGAATCAAAAGCTTCCTAAACGTTCACCCCTATTTGTTTACTCGTTGAATATTTGCTTACTGTCCACAACAATTTGAAATTGGATGATCACATGCTGTTAGTGAGTTAGGAGCAATAGGGTCATTACCCTATTCCATATAACTCTCTCTGTGATTAATTGATGTTCGTGGGTCTCTCTCTCTCTCTCTCTCTCTCTCTCTCTCTCTCTCTCTCTCTCTATACTGTTAATATGGTATCAAACCCCCGCATTGTGCGTAGCCGTCAAGAAGGAAATCACCACTGTTGAATCCCTATTTGTCGTCAAGGTGGAATCATTGTTTGCCGACCACCTTTGACTTGACGTTGTTGATTCGTTGTCGGGGTCGAGTGAACAACCACCGTTGCATTGCTGCTGTTGATGATCAATTGTGTTGTTGCTGCTGACGATCGATTGAACAACCACTATTGCATTGTTGTTGTTGATGATCGATCGCCAGAGGTTCCACACGTTGCAGCCGAGTTGAAGAAGTTATTGGAGATGATCGTTGCAGTCGAATCGAAATCGCTGGCTTTTTGTTGTTGATTGTTGCAGTCGAGTCGTAGAGGCTGGGTGGTTGTTGCCATTTCGTTGCTGAGAGTAGGGTTCCCTTCGGCGTCAGTAGAGGTTGAAGACAAGACCCGAGTTCAATTGGGTCGGGTTTTGATATTATTAAGCGCCTAAGCCCACAACAACAACCGATCCAAATCCAATCTGTTTAAAGCCCAAGTCAAGTTGAAATCAGTCGACTAGCTCTTGTCTGGTCCGGTTCAGTACCTCTCAGGCAAGTTCTGCCCCATTCTAGTCGATTCAGCCCTATTTCAAGCCGGATCACACCCATTCCAGACCGATTCGGCCCTATTTCTGGCCGGTTCAAGAGTCCTTGTCTACGTTGCTGTCCAGCCAAGTCTTAGCTTAAAATTTTATGCATACTGCTTATTATTACTTCAAAAGCAAATAAAACCAGTTGCTTCTGCCTATTGCTTCAATGCGGCATTGCTCCTGTTGTTGGTCCATCTGCTGTAGCACGTTGACTGTCTGTTTCATTGATATTGCTTCTGCTGCTCCCACTGATTTTTTTTCTATTTTTTTCTATTTTTTTCTACTGGATACTGGATATATGGAAGAAAATAAGTCTAACCCTACTGTTGTTGGGTCTGGGGTGAGTCAGGATTTTACTGGCCTATCTATTGCCTCTATTAAGCTGAATGGTAGTAACTACGTACCATGGTCTCATTCTGTTGAAGTCTTGTTGACTGTGTTAAGAATATTAGGGTAGTATATGTAAATTGTTAACAGTAAGAGGGTGTATGTGTAATTCTTATTATTGTGAGTTAACTATAAATACAAGTGATGTATGAAAATCAGGTTAAGTTTTAACCTCTCTCTATTTCTCTCTAATATTGTGTTAATCTTCTACACTTAACATGGTATCAGAGCATTACGACGATAAATATTTATTCTAAACAAATTAATTTTTGATGGCGGTGATACTGTTGGGCGTTGATCATTGGTGGTGGTTTGTGTTGATCGTTGGTGGTGGTCTGTGTCTGTTGTGGTTTGTGTTGATCGTTGGTGGTGACGCCTGTCTATGGTGGTCTATGTTGATCGTTGGTGGTGGTCTGTGTCTGTGTCGCTTGTCGTGGTGGTGGTGTGGCTGTTGTGGTTTGTCATCTGTCAATGATTGTGAGGCGCAGTCGTCCTCTAGATCCCTAACTAACAAAGAAGACAACGGTCCAGTCTAGATCGGCTAGACCAGACCAATTCCAGTTTGGTCTTGGTTCAGTCTAATTTTTTGTGGTTCAGACCAGTTCAGATAGTTTTGACTCGGGTTCACAGGTCCAAGAGGTCCAACTAGTCCAATTTAGTGATCCAACAAATCAAACCGGTCCAATTCAGAAGTCCAGTTACCTTTTCTAGCCCGATTCAGTGATCCAAAGGGCTCAGCTTGTTCGGTTCAGCGGCCCAGATAGCTTTTCCAACTCGGTTCAATGGTCCAGAGTGCTCAGCCTCTCCGGTTCAACAGTCCAACTTGGTTTTCCAACCCAGTTCAGCCTTCTAGCAGTCTCTTTTCCTTTGGTTAAGCATTGCAACATTTTTTGTTTGCTATTTGCTGCATTATTATGGAACCCAAGCAAGATACCTGAATATTGTTAGATTTTTGGTAGGACTGAAACCTGAATATGAGGTATTCGTTCTCAGATTTTGGGCTTACTACTTGAGGTTTTCTCTTGTGTACAGCGTGCTACTTTGTCTACTTCAGGCATTAACCAAGGTGTCTCCACTGATCGCTCAGCTCTTATGGTCCCTAGTAGCCACGATGATAGTCATCGAGGTGGTCGAGAAGGCCGTACAAAAGGTCGTACAGGTGGTCGTGGGGGTCATAGTGGACCTCGTTCTTGTACTTACTGTGGCCATGGAGGGCACACTATTGATTTCTACTAGGATTTACATGCAAAACCTTTTGGTGCTGCAAATCAGGCTTCCTATCAGGATGACATCTCTGTTGTTGCTTCCATACCTCGGTCAACTCTACCAGACACTGGGTTGGTTACTATTACACAAGAGGAGTATGCTCAATTCTTGTCCCAGCAGCAGGTTCCATCTCTCTCCACTGCTACTTTTATCCAGTCAGGTACTGCTTCCACTTGTTTACTGTCCTCCACTCGCAGTCTCTGGATCATAGACTCTGGCGCTTTTGACCACATGACTAGTGCGTCTAATGTTTTTTCTACTTATCAGTCTGCTATTTCTACACATAGTGTTACTCTTGCTAATGGCACTTGTTCTAAAATTTCAGATTTGGGGACTACTCTCTTGAATCCTAATATGTCCCTACTTTTGTGTTATTAGTTCCTCAGTTTCCTTTTACTTTACTTTCCATTAGTAAGATTACTTGTTCTCTCAAATGTTCTGTAACTTTTTATCCATCTTATTATGTCTTTCAGGATCTCAAGACGAAGAGGAAGATTGGTACGTGGCATGAAGCTGGTGGCCTATATTACTTTGATTTTGATTCACCTACTCGAGCTCTACAGACTTCATTATCTCTTTTTCAATGGCATTGTCGTCTTGGACATCCCTCTCTCTAGAATCTGAAGCGCCAAGTTCTAATCTTAGTTATGTGTCGTTTTTGTCTTGTGAAGCTTGTCCACTTAGTAAGCATCACCATGTATCATTTCAATCTAGAGTCAATAATCTTGTGTCTAGCCCATTTGAGTTGGTACATTCTAATGTATGGGATCCAATAAAAAAATTTTATCTAATAAATATCCTTATTTTGGGTTATTTGTGGATGATTATCCTCGTATGACTTGATTGTTTCTGCTAAAAGTTCGGTCTAAATTATTCTCTATATTTGAGATATTTCAGAAGGAAATAAAAACTCAATATGGTTGTTGTATACGTATCTTACGTTCTAATAGTGCTCGAAAATATGAATCTAATCCTTTTTCAACCTATCTTAGTAAAATTGACATTATTTATCAGACTTCTTGTGTTTACACCTCCCCACAAAATGGTGTTGCTGAATGCAAGAACTGTCATTTGTTGGAAGTCCACCTGTGCCTTGTTATTCCAGATGAATATTCTCCGATATTTTTTGAGTAATGTTGTTCTTACTGCCTGTCACCTTATTAATTGTATGTCATCCTCTGTGTTAAATGGACAAAGTCCATATTCTATCATTCTTCCTAGTAAGGCCTTATTTCCTAAAGATTTTGGATGTGTTTGTTATGTTTACAATTTAGGTCCTGGGTTTGATAAACTTGACCCTCGAGCTACCAAATGTGTATTTCTTGGTTACTCCTACACGCAGAAAGGGTATCATTGTTACAGTCCTTCTCTGCAACGATACTTTACTAGTGTTGACGTCACATTTGAAGAATCTGTTCCATATTTTTCAGCACCTACTCAAACTTTGGAACTAGACTTTGGGTCATCTCTTGTACCACCATCTTCAGGTATTCCGCTGTCCACTGTGTTACCATCTACTTTACCTCTTCGTGTAGACACTCGTCGTCCTCGCCCATCGACAGAGGTGCCCGTACCGTCTTCCTTGCCGCCTTCTGATCCTGTTACATCAGGTAATTTAGACTCCTCTGATCTTGGTTCTTTACCTATTACTCTTCAAAAAAGTACTCATTCATGTGTTACTAACCACTTCATTTCTC